AAAAAAAAAAAAAAAAAAAAAAGGAAGAAAATATTCCGTGAGACTTTAGAGATCAATTTTCTCGAGTAACAGATAATGTTTTATACAAAAAGGCAATTATCTAAGAATGCTCAACCAAATATTTACAACTTACAACTTATAAGTTACAAGTCATACAAACAAACTTTCTCTTCTTAAATGGCTCATAAAAACTGCAGTCTCTCCCAGATGATTCGATTATTAAGAATTTACAAGAATCTTACAAGAGTATTAATTACAATTAATTATGAATTATTAATTATAATAGATATTATATAATAATTATTATATAATATTAAATTAAATATAAAATTATATTATATATAATTTATAATAAATTAAATTATATATAATATTAAATTATTATATTATTATATAATTATATATATTATATAATATAATATATTATATATATACTATTATATTATTATATTAAATATATTAAATTATTATATAATAATTATTAATTATAATAGATTCATTAATTTTATATTGATCTTCTCGTCGGTGACAAATATCGCCAGTTTACCCTGAAAAATTCATAGTTCATGAGTTTCCAATTGTCGAGCAATCATCTTACCCCTGACTAAAAGGCGAGACGGCAAGGAAGTGAGTGCATCTTGCCGCGTGAAGTCGCCGGAAGTGACTTGACATTCCCAGTAACCATCATCGAAGTCAAGGGAGGCTCTCCTGATAAGGAGAGTGCAATCACTGCCGCGTCCGCTGGCCCATTCGTATTTATCCGGATGCATTCCCACTGGTTTCCGATCCTTTTGCCAGATGCACTGGCCTCGTTTGTCCTGCACCCTGCACCTTAGCTGCACGTCATCACCGGACGATACTTCTTGATACAGCGCTGGAGTTTCCGCGAATCTTTGCTCGCCAGTGATTCGGACAACGATCGAAAATACGATTGCAACGATGCTTTGGAAACGAGTGGACTTCATCTTGACAAGCTGCGAATTAAATTTGCAGTTGAATGAATATCGCAAGTTCAACTGAATATCTGTAATTGTCCTTTTTCGTTGAAACACTTTCGTTTGTATGTGTAAGTTTCTGTATGTTAAATTCACGTATTCGTTTGTAAGATGGCAGCGTCGATTATTATCGATAACACCTATCCTCCTTGTATCTGTTATCGATATCAATTCTGTCGGAAGTCGAATCGATAAGTTGTCGCGAATAATCGATCACTGATCCATAATCGAGACTAGCGCCATCATTTTGCAATTTCTTCCGTAACAGTGCGTATTGAATTTTTCTTTTTTTTTTACTTTTTCAATAGAATATATATATTCTGTATGTATGTTTTTCTGTCTCACTGGGCTACAAAACACTACAAGCACTTCGATGTAAAAGGTTCGATTTAGAACACAAACATTCCCGGCATTTGCGTGAAATTGAAACGTCGTCACAAGTTTGGTTTGAATTAACAAGATAGATGTTAACTTATGGTTTCAGGGACGATGTTCTGTAGTCACCAATCAACATCGGGAATCTCACCGTCGAAGAACATAAGACGAAGTGAGCTGTTGTGAAATTCGAAAGAGACTTCGCGACAACGGTGGAGATCCTGCAGCGCCATCGTCGGTGGTTGGTCGAAGCATGCTCACATCCCTTGTGAGATTCGAACTTTTTTTTTACTCACTTTTTTTTCCAGCTCACAAACCACAACGACAGAAACGTCAATTCAGGACTTATCCGGGCAAGGCAAACTTTCTAATCTTCAGCAAATAAAACAGTCCCGTTAGGAAGTTAAAAGATTACGTTACGGATGAAAACTTTGACACGTTGTAATGCCCATCACTTTCGTTGTCGTTCGTAGCGGAAAATTAAATTCTACCGCGTCTCGTACAACGCGTTCGACAATAATAATTTCATCTATCGCGGTAAGTTTTACAGTCTCAAACTTGAAAGTCTCACTCTTAATTTCGCTCGTCTCACTTGTTAAAAACTTTTGTATTGTTGTTTCAAAAAGATCTGTTTTTTTTTTTTTTTTTTTAGAAACGAGAATGTTACCGTTAGACACCACCTGTCTAATATTCCTTAGCCAAACCAAATTTGGAACCGAGAAATTCAGCGAACGAAACTGCTCGCTAGATTAAACTTTCTTTCACAGCGCACAAATTTTTTTCTTTTTTCTTTTCCTTTCAAACGTTGTTGAACCTAGGTATTATTAATTGTTGAGTATTGTAATTTGACGAGGATAGGCGGACCTCGGTGCAGGAAGCAGCTGAGATGGCTGAGAAAGAAGAAAAGAAAACAGCCCGGTGGACGTAAAATCGAGTGTATCTAGGACGTCGGAGTACAATGCTGGAGGCACGTAGTGGAACTGAGCCGGAGTTAAAGCCAGAACGTTCACCGGAGTGGAAGCGGAAGACGGGCCCCAAACGCAGGCCCACGCGTGCGTATCCAACCCTGTCTCCTCTGTTGGCTATCCTTATTATTCGAGCGTGTTATCATTATGCCATGCTACGGCGAGTTTAGCCGCCCATTTGTTCTATATACTTTTTATTATGTGCTTAGCCAGGGAGAAACCACGCCACCGCACCCTCTCCAATTTCCAACCCGATCTCCGAATTTGCCTGCGACAAACGAAGTTTCAAGAGAAAGCTGCTTACGAGCTCATTACAGGTCGACGCTAAACGCAATTTAATTACCACGGGCCTTTTACGCGATCATTTATCAACTAAATTTTTTAAATTTCAGTTGCTTTATCAAATCATTTATCAAACTTGTTGCTTGTAAAATCTTTAATTAGTATTAATGTCAACGTGATTACACAATAGGGCCCAACGATTTGTAGTAATTTGATGAGCCAAGTAATTTTTCTAATAATTCATTGCATTTTAGGTTCTCAAATTCTGAATTCGATGGGAAGGAATATTTATGTGCACCAATGCAATTATGATAAATTACCGACGGAGGCTTTTTATCCTCAGTCAGATTGCGCGGAATTTTCATTTGCAAAGTAACTTGCATCTAATAACAAGGTTACTATTTAGTATTAAATTACTATTTAAGTAATAAGTAACGTTGGCTGATAAAAAGTAAAAGCAGTCTGGAAAAATCGGTGAATCGTCTTTTCATGGAAGCGCGAGTTAATGACTGCGCTAACGAGCTGTTAATAGATGTAGCAAGCTAATAACAACGAACAGAACTTAGAAGTATCATAAGAGTTATTGTATTCTAGCCAAGGTTGTTTTCGGAGTCTTGTGAAAAGAAGTTTTCCCCTTTGGGAAAATGCACTCCCTTCGGTTCCGAAGGAAGTTCTTCATGCTTATGAATGGACGTACATCAGAATATACATTACATCCGACGTAGTTCTACATTATTTATTCAGTTCGAATTATCATTGAGTATCATAAATTGTATTTTTAAGGAGGAAAATTCATTTAGCCTTCGTTGAACATTCAGAACTAAACTTGATATTGGATGCTCTTATATGCATAGCTATCATACGTGCATGCTTGAAGAATGTAAATAATCTATTTTTGATAGCATATCTCCAACGCGAACAATCATAAAGTATATTTCTAATTTTGCCTTGAATAATATCAAAGTTTAGTACTTTAGTGCCTTATATATAAATAAGGAATGCATTGTTTAGATCTGTTATCTATTGCTATCATTCATGATAACGTTTATCTCTGACCTATGTTCCTGATATTATATTTCCAATCAAGCTAAGATAATAAATAATATCAAATTATTTCGTGTCTTTAAAGTCTTGCGTAGTTAATTAAAATTTGTTTATTCATTGGCCCCATTAAGACTAAAATATCCATTCAATTTCGAAACGATTTTCATAATTTCAAAAAATGTAAATACAGTCGAAGTACATGTGCGTGTGTGTTACATATGTATGTATATAGTTTCCTAAACCGCGACTATAGCGTATCCGCAGAGTCTCATAAAAACTATAGAAACGAAAACTAAGATTTGTAACAAAGATTTAAAAGAAAAGAAAAAAAGAAGAAAGAGAAAGAGAAACAACGAAAGGTATGAATGAAAGAAAAAATAAAGAAAAGAAAAGAACGAGTTCTAACACATTTTCATTACGAGATACGATACAAGATCGATTGATCGATGTATCGCAAGAACCGCTCGCCCAGTCGTAACTAACCTCAGAGCTGTTGTGAACAATGGCGACACTTGGAGAAAAGTGACACTCCGACGAACAAATGTGTTTTTACACTTTAACGGTTAACCTTCTTTTGTAGATATTAATTACGCTCGTTGGCTGATAAACCGGCAAGGATCCGTGTTTTAGAATGGCTTTGAACGCGAACGCGTTGTCTAGTGACATAAGCCGAAGAAATCCACAGGATGAATACGAGCTCATTCAGAGGATAGGCAGCGGAACGTACGGAGATGTTTACAAGGTTCGCAAACGTATATTTTTTTTTTACATTCGCCATTGACCACTTTGCGTTTGTGTACTACTCGGTTTTTTGTTACAGGCCAAAAGACTTTCCATGAACGACCTCGCTGCAATTAAGGTTATTAAATTGGAACCAGGTACGCTCTTCCAGTCTTTCCGCCTGTTTTTTGTCAACCATTCGAGTCTTCGTCCAGAATTTTGCAGAATTAACATCGACACGAATGATCACTTGCATTTTCAATCTGCTATCAGTGATTTAGAAAAGCTGATCAAGTTAAATCTCACATTACTTCTTTGCATTGCTTTCATTAATCTAAAGTTATTATTGGCCAAACAGTGATCGATCTATATCTTGCACTGT